CAGGCCCGGGCGGGGGCTGGGTGCGGAGTCCGCAGGGCAGGGTCGGGGGTGCTCGGTCCGAATGCTGAATCCGCAGGCAGGGTCGGGGGTGGGGGGTTTGGGGTGCTGGCTCTCGGTCCGTGTCCACAGGCAGGATTGGGGGTGCTGGGTTTGAGTGCTGAGTCCGCAGGCAGGATCTGGGGTGCTGGATCTGGGTGTTGAGTCCCTTGGTAGGGCCTTGGGTGCTGGGTATGGATCCGGGTGTGCAGGCAGGGTTTGGGGTGCTGGGTCTGGGTGCTGGATCCGCAAGCAGGATCTGGGGTGCTGGGTGTGGGTGCTGCCTGCACAGGTAGGGCCTGGGGTGCTGGGTGCACAGGCAGGATGGGGAGAAGGAGGAGCAGGGGTCTGACCTGCTGGGCTTGAAGTCCAGGGAATGGTGCCTTGGGGGAAACAGGGGGGCAGAGCCTTGGGGTCGGGAGGGAGAGGGGTTCAGGGGAGGCCTGATGCAGGTGAGGATTTGGGGGTGACAAGCTGGAGGGGAGGTGGGGACATGCAGGGTCTGGTGGCCGTGCGGGTAGTGTGCTTTGGGGGCAGGTTTGGGGTGTGGGGTGAGGTGGGGCTGGGGGACCTGGGCAGGAGTGAGGTGGAGACATGCTGAGGGGGTGAGGGAAGGCAATGGTGGGAACTGCAGCCAGACACTGGCGGTATTTGGGGAGGCTGAGTGTTGCCTGGGGGCAGCTGGTGTTTCAGCCATACTAAACCGATGCAGGTGGTGCAGTGCAATCCCTGCATCCCCCCGCCCTTCCTCTTGGGAGGTGGGGGGCCATGGGACGTGTTTTGTCTGAGCCCTGACTTCTTGGGATTCATCTCCTTGGGAAGCATCACTGTGGGTGCTGCGGATGGTCCCAGGAGGAGGGGTCCAGCTTGTGCCGGGGCTTGTCTGCACTGGGGTCGAGCTTCGTACCTGCTGGTCCGAGGGTCGAAGGGACCTGCCGTGCAGCCAGGCAGCTCTGGGATCTGGGGCTTTCTTTGCCCTTCTCACCAGTGCGCAGGGGGGCCAGTGGCTTGCGCCTGGCCTTTAAAACTGGGAGCGTGAAGCGGGAAGGGGAAGCATGAAAAGGCTCTTCAGGTGCCAAGAAAAAATCAAAGAGACTGCCCAAAATGGATGAGGAGTGCAGATTCCCCCAGAGGCTGGGAAATTATTAATAACAATGATGGCATTTTTTGTGCTAGTTGGCCTACCACCGCGGAAGGCTGCTTTGCCTCCCTCCGCAGCGGGGGCAGGCTGGGAGCCCCCACCTGACCCCCGAACCCAGGTGGGATGGCCGTGGTGATGCTCTGTGTGTGTCGCATGGGATGTGTCTCTGCTTCATCTCAGTTTGGCCAGGCTCGCTCTGCCCGGAGGGACGAGGGGCAGGGAGCTGCCCCCCCAGCACGCCGCCGCGATCCCTATCTTCACTTTGTTTTTGTGTTGCAACCGGAGGGGAAAAAAAAAAACAAACCCCAACAACCCTTTCGGTTCCTGCAGATGAGGGCTTTGTGTCGTAGGCTTGTTCTCCCCCCCCCACCTTTTCCTTCCAACATCCATTTGAACCTTTCACCACTTTCCCCGCCAGGAATGCAGCGGGTTTGCCGGAGCCGGGAGGTCTATTCAGCAAACCTGCCAGGTTGTTTGCCGGGAAAATGCATCCAGGTGAACTCAGCAGGGCCGGCAAGGGGAGGCTCCTCCGGCCCCCTGTGCAGGAGGGCAGCGGTGGGTGCGGTGGAGATGCCGTGCCAGCCTCGCCTGGCTGCGTGCAGGGAATTTCCCTCCCTGCGCTTGCCCCCTGGCTCTGCTTGGCATCGTGACGGGACTTGTTGGGAAGCAGCTCATGTGATGGGAGGTTTGGTGGGGGGAGCCAGTCCCAGGGGACCCACTGCCTCTTGGGGAGAGGGGGGACGATGCCCCCAGAGTTTATTATGCTCCCCTGCTGTGGAAGCCCTCCCGGCGGTGGCCAGCTTCTGCTGTGGGTATTGGGTGGGTGCCTGGTCCCAATCAAAGGTGAGAGCTCCCTGCCCTGCTGGCACTCCAGGAGGGAACGCTGCCGCCGCTGTCCCTCCCCGCCTGGCTGTACCACTGCTCCTGGTGGTTTCCAAGCACCAGGGCTTTGCCGTAGCGAGGTGATCACCAAACCCAACCGGGGGCTCGAGCTCCGCCATCCAGAGCCAAAGGAAGCTGAGGGTTTCAGGCGCCGTGTTACCAACCGGTGTGGGGACACAGGTCGGTGAGTCAGGGTGTGCTCCGGCTTGTGCTCTTCTTGCTGCTTAAAAACTGCCCCCCCCCCCCCCCCCACGTCCAACCCCCCCCCCTCTTTCACACCGCGAATCTTGTTTGCCTTTTGCAAAGCCCAGCCCATGCAAATAAGGTGGGGAGGTGATTTTGGGGCAGCAGAGCTGGCGGCATGCAAACGGCTGTGGGAAGGGGCAGGTGCTGCTGCCTCGCGCCGTGGAGTGATGAACGCCAAGCTGAGCATCAAATTGAGTCTGACCCCAAATCTGAATGGATCCCAAATCCCTTCCTTGGAGGGAAAGCGAGGAAAACAAGAAGAGGTTGGAACCCAAGAAAAACTGGAACCCATAAAACTGCTCCCGTCATCTGGTTTTGCTGGACTTTTGAAAACAGTTTATCTTTGGAATAAATAAAAAGGAGAGGGACAAGATTGCGGCAGAAAGCCCCGTGTTGACGCCAGGCGAGCTGGGACGTGCTCCAGCTCTTGCCCCGCTTCTGAGGGGACCCCAGGCCACGTAGGATTTCTGAACCTCAGTTTCCCCTCGGGGAAGCCCTGCGCCATGCCGACGGTGGGAACCCTGGGCATTGCCAAGAAATGTCTTTGAAACTCAAACCTGGCTTTGGAAAAAAAACTAGAAGACAAACCGGCTCTAAACAAACACCCGAGTTAATTCCTTGTCTTGCATTGTACGAGCCCAGTGAAATGAAACACAGCGCAGCCACGGGGACGAGCAAATGGATTCAAACGCACCAGAAAGCCCCAAAATCTGCTGGCTCTGAAACGCCCCTTTATGTTCAGGGTTGGGATTTTTCTCGTTTTCTTTCTAATTGTTCCTGGGAATTTAATTCTACAGTTATTTTCCTGCTTCTGCCATAGAGACAATGTGCTTCAGCCACAAAGCCTTTGAAGGCCGAATTGCAGATCGCATCCAGCGTTGAGCCGCTTGGATGCAAACACCCCCTCGCTGGGAAACTTTGC